ATTCCTCAGCATTTGCAGAAAGAAGGCACCAGTGGGAGGAAGATTACTGCTTTTCGGACACTTATGGTCAAACATTAATGGATCAGTGGGTAAACTAAATGGTAACATCAGGTTATAAGTTTCTGTTTGATGGAAAACCAAAAAGCAGGTATCTTTCTTCACCAATGACAAAGGATCCAGTCAAGTTCCATGGTGAAGATATTCAAGAGGTCTTCAGAGACTCCTGATTCCCAATTGACAAGGAATTGGGAACAAGTTGCTTTATACAGTGAGAGTAACATTCTGAGGAATGAGTTGAGATGGTGGTTTCTGGACAAGAACTTGGACAAAGGGGTGCCTTTACTGATTCAAAAACAAGTACAAATAACAATAAATGTTAGTCTGAATGTTTTTTGGGGAGGGGCTCACTGCTACCAACTATGAGAGTAAGGATTTTGAAGTGTAACAAGCAGAAAACAATATGATTTTTTTAGAATTAAAGGCTGTGAGATTGGCATTACTCAGCTGTACAGGAGTGTCATGTTTGGATATGAACAGACAACATGACTGTGGGCGTATATCTCTAATCAAGGGGGTTTACAATCAGTCCTATTGATAGCGGACTCAAACAAGCTGTTCTGGTGGGCAGAGTGGAATCCTTGCTCAATTTCTGCAGTTTATTTGAGAGGGACACTAAATGTGTAGGTGGATTATCTAAGCCGCAACAAAAAACATTTGAACACATGGACACTGAATATAGTTGTGTTCCAGAATTTGAAAATTTTGTTAGGGCCTTTTCAAATAGACCTATGTGTGTCTGCAAGAAATTGCAGACTAAAAAAATTATATTCAAGACATGGAAGCAGAAATGCAGAGAATTGTGATCGCCAAAGAGTTGTTTTTATGCATGTTCATCAGTTCCAATTCTGCAAAAGGGGCTTCTCAAAATACAGACAAAAGTGCATGTAATACTGACAACGCCATATAGGTGCATGCATCCTTGGATTCCCATTCATGCTTCAGCTGTCAATGGGACAATCAGTGACATTGACAGACCAGATCTATAAGCTAAGGCCCAGTGCATTATCCAAATCGAAGTTTGTTGGCTCTGAGAGCATGGTTATTGAGAGGAAATCATTAGAGTTGCAAGGTTGTTCTGTAGGAGTAATAGATACTATTATGGCATCTAGGAGAAACTCAACTCAGAATATTTATAATGTAAGTTTGAAAGCATTTGATGGTTGGTATACGACAAAAGAGACAACAGTGCATCAAGTGGAAATTAAATATGTTCTACAGTTTTTGCAGGACATGTTGCATAAGGACTTAAGTCCACTTAAAAACTATAATTGTCAACCCTATCAGTGGTTTTAAAGTTTGGAAAGGTGTCATTTCAGCACATCCTTATATAAAGATGTTGTTGGGTACAGTGATTACTTTTCCAAACTTGCATAGATTCCCATCATAGGACTTAAATTTGATCTTGACTAAACTAACAAATGCTCCATTTGACCATTCAGGGAAGCTTCCTTGTGGATGCTTTTGTTCAAGGTTGCATTTTTTGTTGCAATTACATCTGCAAAGCGAATATATCAATTAGTGTTAGCAGTACATCCATATTTATGTAACTTTAGGAAGGACAGATTGATAATGACATTGGACACTTTTTTTTTTTTGCCAAAAGTATATATGGAAAAAAAGGGATCAATGAGACAATACACTATCCAAATTTTTGGACAAAAATTGAGCCAAGTAATTCAAATGAGCAGAAGTGCTATACATTAGGCTTAAGGATAGCAGTTAAAATATATTTGAGAAGGACTTATCCGTTTAGAAATACAGAGGCCTTATTTATGCCATTCAATCTGAAATCATTGGAGTAGAGAGTCTCAAAAAATGTAATCATTTGGTGGATTAAGGCTTACACTTTTCAATGCTATGATTATGAGAAAAAAGGCACAACCAAGGAATGTATGGCCACATTCAACAGAATCTATGGCTACAAGTACAGCCTATGCTGTTACAACATCTTTACAGGATATTTGTGATGCAGCATATTGGAAAGAACCCACAACTTTAATTAGACACTAGGTTGGATAAATTTAAATCAGCATGGGCTACATTTGGCAGGACGATGCTTCAGTCAACAGTTCAGTAATTAGGTTCACACCCAGAACTGAGGGTTTGGGACATCCCAATTGTGGTGGATTGCTCCTCCATGCTATCCTGAAAATGAGACATTGGATTTACTATGAACATTTATTCTGAGATAGCAGGAGGAGCAATCCAGACCCTTTCTTAAACAAAACCAAAACATGAAAGTTAAACATAGTTTTTGTTACAAGAAATTTAGAGTCAGGACTAAATAATTACATTTAAGGAGAAGGGGAAAGTCTTAATGGTACTAATTGAAAAGAATGTTCCTGCCTACTCGGGTTGACATGCAGTGATATACCCAATCATGGTGGATTGCTCCTCCTGCCATCCTAGAATGAACCTTTTTGGTGAGTCCCATCTTCTCATTATTTCGTGGTATTGCATCCAATTCTTCTTTGGACCATTTCTGCTTAGTTTCCAAAATCAGATGAGATCAAGTACATTTAGAGTTTGTATGGTGTCTGGATTCTGCCCATGACATCCACATCACAGGCAGATAATGGCAATGTCTGTATCTCCAATGCTCTCATTCTTTTATTACACTGGATTGAATGGTAGATGACGCCTTCAGGACCTCTACCCATCTGTTGCCTGTTGGCTATCCCTATTTATTCCCTTAGAAAGTTTGGAGGACACCTTGCCCATGGTCCTATTGAACCAGGCACTAGGTCTTGTTGAACTGAATAAATATTAGTAATTTATCAGATATGGACCTAATAAGATCAGTAGCATTTTCATGCATAGTTACACACTTAAATATAGTTGATGTTAATATATTTTAAGCATGCCTCCAGCAGTAATGAGGCCTTATAAATGTACCTGTTCATATTTTTAATGTCCTCAAGAACTTGACCATTCATTTCTATGGAGGGAGTGGGCCCCAAACATGGAAAGAGGATCTGTATGGTGATTACCTTCCTCTGAAAAGAATGAGGAAAGCCACTCTCATAAGTGTTACAGCTGTGGATTGTTGTTGTTTTTTTTAAAAATGATCAGAATTAGTGTTGTTAATACATGTAAAGATTGTATAGGAAGAGGATTGAGGTGCTCAAATGTTATTATGTGCAATTTTTGACTGTCAACTGATCTCAGCGGCCAACACAATAATTTTAATGTTATGCTGTGACTTAAGGAGTCAAGAAGTAACAAATGTCAAAGTTAATCTTTTTTGCTGTAACAGTTTCTAAAGTTTGAAATTCAATCATAACAAGACACTTTAGATTGCAAGTAACATGGCTTTTTATCTGTTGAGATAGAATTGCTTCAGTGTATTTTTCAATTGAAATAGTTTATTTGTTTGGATTTTTAAAGAAGTCATGTGGAATGAGTTATAGCCTAAAGGAACCACAGAACTGAATGAGCTGTTCTACTATGCTTTATCTTAATAATAAAAATAAAAATAATACTATAGCATTTGGAAATAGCAATGTGTGTAACATTGCAATTACTTTAGGCTGCTACTTAACTCAGTATAGGAGAGATAAATATTTTGCAATATATTTTATCTTCTTACAATATCACATTGCAAATACAGGTTGAGTCTCCTTTATCAGAAATGCTTGGGACCAGAGGTCTTTTGAATTTTGGATTTTGGAATATTTGCATATACATAATGAGATATCTAGGAGATAGGACCCAAGTCTAAACATGGACATTCATTTATATTTTTATGCACCTTATACACATAGCCTGAAGGTAATATTTTACACAATGGTTTTAAATAATTTTGTCCATGAAACAAAGTTTGTGCACACAGAACCATCCGAAAACAAAAGTGTCACCATTTCAGCCATTCATGTGGACAATTTTGGATATTAAGTGTTTCAGATTTTGGGATTCTGAATAAGGGGGACTCAAACTGTAACAGCTGCAGGGAGACTGTTTTCAGCAGGAACACAACACAGGAGATAGGGTTAAACCCTTTTGCACTGTGATCCAGGAGTATATCCACAGTTATAGCACTTTGATAAAGTTTACCATCCAAGTTACTATGGAATCTATGAAATCCTGGATTCATAATCTCCTGAACTATTTAGACCTAACGAGTTCTAATACTCTAGAATTCTAAGTTCCTTACCAAATTACCCATCCCAGGATTCTATAGAATAGCATGGAGTCGTGGCAATTAAAGTGGGATGAAATTGCTCTATTTCTACAATGTGGATACATCCTGATCTAGATATGACTGTTCCACAACTGCTTTTTTGGATCGAAAAAACTAATTTTAACAGGCTGTTGATTCAGTATCTACTTTGACTTCTAAAGATGGCAGAAGAGGTATGACCTAAAAAGCATGATGTCTCATTTATGGTAGATGTAGTAATACTCATGAGTTGCCTGTAGGATTGCATTATAAGGAGTTGTATCTTTTCTAGCACAGAGATTCATACTAGTGTATGAAAAATTATATGCAATGCATGTGAATGTGTATGTGTTTATGTAGTGGCTGTAGTCAGTGTATAGTTATAACCAATGAGAGATACCTATTATCCCTAATAGAAAGGAGCAATGGATGTTTTTTTTCCCTTTTTTTGTTGGCAACCTTTTTATTACAACTGTTATTCACTCCTTTCCCCCCAGTAAGACTAGCTTTTAGTGGGAAATGTCTGATCCTGGGATGCATTTTCCAGGGGGAAATTTAAGCCACATCATTCTTTGGAGGATGTGTCATACAT